ATATGCTGTGGCAGGAACTTAAGAGAGCTGTACATAAACAAATGCCAGCAAACCTCAATGAACTGAAGCAACATTGTAAAGAAGAGTGGGCCAAATTTCCTCCACAACAATGTAAAAGACTGTTAAAGTCATACAGAAATGTATTACTTCCAGTTATTGCTGCTAAAGATGGTTCTACAAGCGAATTAATCATAAGGTGTACTTCGTTTTTCACACAAGTACTTTCCATTTTGGCTTCATTTTTGTTAAATAAATCAATCAATCAAGTCACAGTGTAATATGTCATGTGTCGTTGTTCATCTGCGGTTTTATTTAACACATTTTAAGATCTGCTAAGGAACAGATTATTAAAATCATAGAATTCAAAGATGGTGTTTTTAACCCATAAGTGTAAGTTTCTGGAAGCAGTCTGCTTAACCAACTAGCATAAGTAGACATGCAACAAATAAATGGAGAGTTTTAACACAGACAAGGCAGAGTAGCCATTGAGCCCCATCAAGAATACTGGTGAAACAGGTATGTATGATGTGGCGGAACCAACCTCGCCACTATGCACTGGAGAAGCCTGGTTGCCAGCCTCCTGCCATGTAACTATGGCCCCTGGGATGTATTGCCCTTTAAAGACATGATTTGGGCATAATGGATTTGTGTTGTGCTGCTGCTAGCCCTTTTAAGAACCATCTGGGGACATACTGTGGAGTTACTGGGTGGCCACCATTTCCTGTATTAGAAGCGCATGGTGAGAACAATGGATGGCGGCCATTTTAACTCACAGACACTGTGTGGACTTTTCAACACGGTGCCATCTCACCAGTATTTGTTGCACAGAGACATCGTGCGGTGGTTTTGGACTATACAGCAGGGGAAACATTATACAGTGATTGTTTTTTATTTAGCCTGTATATGTTCTGCAGAATCTGCATTAAGCTGTATTTTCCAAAGTACTGAACGGATCTGGGTGAATTTTGGATATGTGGTTCACCCAGATCCCCCAGTTCCAAGGATATATGGGGTTATTGCATGTTTTGGGGTCCCTGTGATGTGTTTTATGAAACTGTATTTCTCTGGCTGTGATAATTAGATTACCCATTGTGTTCAGTAATCCTATCACAGCCAGAGGGGAGGATTTTGTGTGGGAGTGTCTGGGTGTATTGTATGGATTGATTGGCTGTTTTGTAACGCCCTGTGGGCTGTACTATGTTTGTGGATTGGGAATAAAAGACTGTATGTGACAGTACAGGGAGTTCCTGTTTTAACCCTCAAAGTGAAGTGTCGTCTCATTATTGGGGAAAGGATTTATTGTATGCTGTTCCAGTTTGACTGCTAGGAGAGTAAACCTATTCGTATGGTTCCTATTCAACTGTCTACAGCATTCATATGCTTGAGAGCATTCATATGCTCCTACGGTTCGGTGATTGTGGTGTCGGCTGCAGTGCTTGGAGTCCTCAGGAAGCGCTAGGAGCATCTTTCAATGGAGGTACCCAGTCGGGGTGCCAGGCGATCCGTTACATATGAGGTGAGCTGTTTTCTAGGCATGTGCATGGGGAAAATTTTCGGTTCGGTTCAGCATTCTGAAATTCGGGACTTTCGCAATTCAGGACTTCGGCAATTCGGCACTTCAACACTTCGGAACTTCGTCAACTTCGGTACTTCAGCACTTCGGCACTTTGACACTTCAGAAATTCGGCACTTTGACACTTCGGAACTTCAGCGTTTTGGGGCTACGGCACTTTGGGACTTCTTTTGCAGCCGCTTAGTAGATAACTCCCTAATTCCCACGGTATTAGGGAGTTATCTAACAAAAGGCTGAAAGACCTAAATTGGTCTTTCAGCCACATTTACTAATACTAAGTAAAGATTACTTAGTATTAGTAAATTTTGCCCCTACTCGCTATACCGCGAGTAGGGGCATGTCTAGTAAACAGTGAGCAGCCTGTGGCTGCTCACTGTTAACAAAAAAAAATAGGGGACCTATTGCCCCCCCGGCCCCCATCCCTGAGCGGTGGATGGGGGCCCTAAATTATAATAAGGAGGGGGGACCTAATGTCCTGCCCCCTGGCCCCCACCCCTGAGCAGTGTGTGGGGGCCCTAAATACTAATAAATGGGACCTAAGGTCCTCCACCCTGACCCCCACCCCTGAGCGGCTGGTGGGGGCCCTAAATTATAATAAGGGGTGGGACCTAATGTCCTCCCCCCTGGCCCCCATCCCTGAGCGTTGGGTGGGGGCCCTAAATTATGATAAGGGGGGGACCTAATGTCCTCCCTCCTGGCCCCCACCCCTGAGCGGTGGATGGGGGCCCTAAATACTAATAAGGGGGGACCTAATGTCCTCCCCCCTAACCCCCACCCCTGAGGGGTGGTTGGGTCCCTACAGTAAAATAAGGGGGGGGGACCTAACGTCCTCCCCCTGGTCCCCACACCTGAGTGGTGGGTGGGGGCCCTAAATACTAATAAGAGGGACCTAAGGTCCTCCTCCCTGGCTCCCACCCCTGAACGGCGGATGGGGGCCCTAAATACTAATAAGGGGGGACCTAATGTCCTCCCCCCTTGCCCCCACCCTAGAGCGGTGGGTGGGGGCCCTAAATACCAATAGGGGGGGACCTAATGTCCTCCCCACTGGCCCCCACCCCTGAACGGTGGGTGGGGCCCTACAGTAAAATAAGGGGGGAACTAACGTCCTCCCACATGGCCCCCACCCCTGAGCGGTGGGGGCCCTAAATACTAATAAGGTGGGACACCTAATGTCCTTCTCCATGGCCCCCACCCCTGAGCGGTGGGTGGGGGCCCTAAATACCAATGAGGGGACCTATTGTCCTCCCCCCACGGCCCCCACCCCTGAGCGGCGGGTGGGGCCCTAAAAAAAAATGTTACCCCCCCAGGTGACTAGGGGTTCCCAAACCCCTAGTCACCCCCTTCCCCCTGAAAAAATTAACCCCCTACCTACCCCCCTCACCCTAAAAATAATGAGGGGGGGGACCTTTAACTAAGTACCTGTAAATAAAATAAAACTTACCATTCAATGTTTTCTTTCTTCTACAATCTTCTTTTTTCAGCCCCAAAAAAGGCCAAATAAAAATCCATAATAACCGACTCTGAAGTACCCGAATAGCCGAATTGCCCGAAATTCGTCTGAATTCATATTCGGACCGAAACGAATTGCACATGTCTACTGTTTTCAGAGAAAAAAAACAACACATGGCAGTAATATTTATCCCCCTCAGTGACAGGGTAATGTCTTTTTATTAATTAAGTTCAGAACATACTACACATGCTGCTACCCATACTGCTACACACACAGTCAGATGCACACTACTGCAAATGCTGCTGCACTCACACACTCTATGCAAAGACACATTAACACACACACATACATACATATCTTGTAGATATTTCAGAGGACCCTGAAATACACTTTTTTAGGGAGTACTCCCACTAGGGTGCTCTGAAACATGGAGGGCCCCAGCCCAGACAAATACAGTGGAACAAAATAAGTAGGTTTTGGCACACCCAGTAGTTTCTTCAGCAGGTAGACTTTATTATGGAGTACAAAAATTTAGACAACGTTTCGGCTCCCCTGTCTACATTTTTGTACTCCACAATAAAGCCTACCTGCTGAAGAATATACTGGGTGTGCCCAAACCTACTTTTTTGTTACACATACATACGCACACTGCTACACATGCATGCATAAACTACACATACATACAAACACACACACTATATGTGTGCGCGTATCTATACAACACTTCATATCATTGAAATAACCAGGGTTTTTATGAAAGGGGAGGGAGGGATTTTGGGCGCTTGAGAATTGTAGATTATGCTAACGTAGTGTACCTATAATCTTAATTTTAATAATGACAGGAGGCGAGTATTTTGCATAACTTTCTTTACTTTATGCCTCCAGCAGCACAAGTCAATCAATAAACTTTAAACCAATCAGTAACAGGCATCACATTCATATATAAAGCCCTGACAGTCACATGACTTCCTCTTTCTTTGATGCGAAAAACAGTCTATTATAACGTCAGGGAATTCAAATAACAGTCCTGAGTAGCGTGTAGAACATAACTTGAAACCTTCCAGCTTTATCTTGTCGAATCCATCTATGATGATTACGCTGAAAAGAACAGAAATACGTGAAAGGTGATGGAAACCAACTGTTGTCCACATTAAATCCAGTACTATATGTGTCTATATTTATATTAAGTTAATATACTGAAACATTAAACAAACCATAGTATACTTAATAATCAACACGGATCTAACACATATCAACCAAATAAGCATCCCATAAATATACTGAATTACCAAACCTTATAATTTACACTGAGAAAATGACAAACCAAAATATAAAAAATTTCCAGAGTATAGGGAGGGAAAATACTCGCCTCCTGTCATTATTAAAATTAAGATTATAGGTACACTACGTTAGCATAATCTACAATTTTATCACATGACAGGAGGCTTCATATTTTGCATTTTTAAAGCTGTGGTATGAGCGTGAAGGATGCGTGTGTGGTTGACGAAAATAAATATACGGAAGTAGTCTATCTGTGTCCAATTCGTCGCTGAAAATATAGAGGCCCCCTCGTGAAGGCCTGAGAAGCAGCTGCGCCTCTTACCGAATGAGTACCCAAACACGTCTCCACCCTCGCTAGCGATAACAACCAATGAACCCATCTAGACAGAGTGTTCATGGTAACTGGCTTGTACGGTTGGTATAAGACCAGCAGATGTCCTGAATGTGACATTCTAAGTGTTGTCGTGATCTCCATGTAACAAAGTACCCCTTTAACTGCACAAAGGCTGGGAAACCGTCGGTAATAGGGAACGATACGGACACGGATAAGATATAGTTCTACGAGACACTGTAGAAATTATTCTTTCCAGTGATACCGAAAAGACCGTCTACGTCGAACTCCAGTACATCTGATACCCGACGAAAAGACCTAAAAGTAACGTGACTCTGGCTAATGGCTGACTGAGGGATAGGACCGTGATATCTGACTAGCTCCAAAAGAACCAAATCAAAGTCCCACACCAGTGATACTTTGACGCATGGTTCTGGACGGTTTGATACCCCACAGAAAATGGCATATCAAAGGCTCTTGATTGACTGGAGTGTCGTGAATCGTGCTATGCGTCGTCGAAATCGCGGAACGTAGCCCGTTAATGGAACGTTCCGATCGGCCTGTAGTGAAAAGGTATGATAAAGATCCAGCATCGTGGAGATAGGGGTAATAAAGGGATCGCAGTCCCTTCCCATACACCAGCGAACTCAAGGTGTTCCATGCGGATAAGTTATTTCGGGGGAATACCTGGCATCCATGAGTCCTATAGTAGGTCTCTAGTTGGTTGCGATAGTCCCTTGACATACCAGTCTCCCCTGAAAGACACCAATCTACCAACTCCAGATGCTCCTGCATTCTCAATGGATGATGTTCTCCTTTTGGATCCGCCCGAAGGCAAGTTAAAACGGAAGGAGCAGAGGATGATCCTGATTAAGGACAACCCTTCTGGGTGTCACGCTTGCCTCCTTTACCACAGTAATGAGTACTATCGAAGTATTCTGATCCCAATTTCATAGGTGTGTCCGTATCTCAGGCAGTGAGCTTTCAGCCACTGTCTGGCCTGGTAGTGAAGCAGTCCTGGGAAATAGTCAAAGGGTTATGGTGCCTTTCCGCCGTACCCGTCGAATTTCCTTACGAATTGTCGCTATCAATGATGTGGGAAGGTGTAATCCGCCCAAGGTGGAATCTATTCTGAAATAGAGGAACTGAATCACTCGGAACTGGGATCGAACCGACTCCTCTCTGTTCACTATGAATCCCAACAATTCCCGAAACTGTAAACATAAATCTCGTTTGTAAACGTAGTCATGAATTGGATTCGCAAAAGGTAAGTCGTCTAGGTATGTGACAGCAGATACCCTTTGCTTTTCAGTGCGCAGTGACCAACTTCAGAAACTTCATGAGGCACCATGTGAACCTATAGGTAAGTGCCCTTCAAGTCCAACCTTGTAGATCCCCTAAGAGATGGATACCTTCCTTCTTGAGTTGTCGGTATGCCCCAAAACCATTGGGTTGGCATAGGTTGATGACTGGGTGATAGTCTCCTATCTTCTTCCTTACTACCAAACCGTTGCTGAGATAAATGGTTCTCCAAACGATAGTCTGTCTGCCTGAGGTCCTCGCTCTTTCGTCCCTAACTTCAATAGTTTGAAATCCATCTTTAATCGGGCTGCTTTGCGGCATTCTGTGCACCTGTCTGCCTTGCGTTCCCCAACTTACATATTGCCCTTTGCACCCATTCCCTCACATCGTGAGCTTCTAGAAGTGAGTCTTGTGTGGGGTCAGGTCCGCAAAGTATAGAATTTTTTCCCGGGCTGATCATATCCAGTATTTAACTCATTTTGAGTCCTCCTCCTACACACTGATCGGGACATACATATCACCACGAGCTCCATAGTGAGGACTATCTTGTTCGGACATAGAGGGCGTGGGCATTCCATCCTGAGCCGGTCTCGGATTTCTTTTCCCATAGGCCTTCTAAGCCAGAAGTGGGCCCGGTGCTCCAGTTAACCCCATTCGGATGACCCTGGTTGTCGGATGGTGCGTGAGTCAAAACAGGAGTGTCCAGTGTGCCAAAGAAAAAACCTTTCTTGCTAGGAGTGTCTTGTCACTTTTACCTCTTCTGCCCTCCATTCTTTCATGATCTCCAGAGAAGGGGGGGGGGGATGAAGTCCTCGTCCCCTGATGATGGGTGTCCGACCTAACGTCGGTATCTCAATCTTCCATTGGTGTTGCTGCTGTTGCACCCGCTCTGTCGGATGGGTTGTTAGCCAGCATACTGGAGAGGACTTCTTCCCCCGGAGCTGTCATGGCAGCCTTAATCCTCGCCTGAAAATCGGTCGGGGATATTGAGGTAAGTCCGACATGTTGGTTCACACCCTTTCGGTCCGTGGGAGACAGGATCGTACAACAGTACACTTATTGCCACTCAGTAGGCCTCCGCCTATAACTGGGGGTCACCCAGAATTTTGATCAATCAGTATCATTTTCGCAGGATCCGGGGAGTGGTCTGAGAATGAGGACACCCTCAGTAAGACCGGGATGAGCGGTCTGCAATGTCGGGACGTAGCCCGAGTCTGGGAGACGTGAAAGCCTCAATATATATAGTCCACGGGTTCATCCTTATATGGTCTAGAATTGTGGAGTTTTGGCAGCACTGTGAGTTCTCCTTCTCGGTTAAGGGAAGGGCGTACGGAACCCCAGTTGAAGCATAGAGGTGCCAGAATACATGCATCTAGTGCGCCCTGGTCTGTGCATACAATGACAGAGCGTACTCTGAAGGTAGAAGCCCTAGAAAGGGCACGGGGGGTCACCCCGTCCGGTAGGAGGTCACCCCTTTGTACCTATGCCACTAGCACCGGAGTAAGACTCGCTTGGGGTTCACCCAGCATAGGGGGTTCACCCCTGTATGAATGACTCTTATGGCATGTTGGGACACTCTTTCGGTCTATGGGGTACCGAACAGGTGTCAGGTACGGTAGTACACTTATTGCCACTTAGTGGGCCTCCACGTACAACTGGGGGTCACCCAGAATTGTTTCAATCAGTACCACTTAGAGATTTCCTGGGAGTGGTCTGAGGAGGTGGTCACCCTCAATAAGACCGGGATGAGCGGTCAGTAATGTCGGGACGTAGCCCGTGTATGGGGAGGTATGGTAGCCTCCAAATTATCCAAGGGGTCACCCTTATAGGATATAGTACTGTGGAGAATTGGCAGCACCATGAGCTCTCCTTCCTGGCTCTGTCGATATACATGTATTCAGTGTGACTCGGTCTGTGCATACAGTAACAGATCGTACTCCGTGGAAATGAGCCCGCCCTAGGGCGTGGGGGTTCCCCCCAGTATATGTATGTCACTAGTACCGGAATAATATTCGCTTGGGGTTCACCCAGAGTAGGGGGATCACCCCAGTATATGTATGTCACCAGGACAGGAACCAGATTCGCTTGGGGGTCACCCAGCGTAAGGGGGGTCACCCCTGTACCACAATGTCACTTTGGAGAGGTGTCTGCCACGCTTGGGGGTCACCCAGCGTAAGGGGGATCACCCCTGTTAATCACTCCGTTATGTGCCTCCACTACTGTGTCCTGGGAGGTGTATCCCTGTGGGGAAGGAGTGTATCCAATGGTTGTGAGGTCCAGTGGGAGTAGGGAGCTGAGTAAGATATCAGCTCTATTTAATTTCCCTGCCAGTAGATAGAGTAATGCATCCACTATATACCCACAGCAGGGGACAGTCCATTCATAATCCTCCAGATGTACAATAAAACGGTTATTCAACATGTCAATTGTATAGAACAGAATAGAGCAAAATATGAAGCCTCCTGTCATGTGATAAAATTATGATTAGATATTTCAATCATTGTTCATCTGTAGATTTGTCATCTGCAGATGCAACCAACCACATCCCAAAGATGCTCTATTGGATTAGAGGACCACTATAGGCACCCAGACCACTTCAACCAGGTCCATCTAGGTTTAACCCTTTTTGCTGTAAACATAGCAGTTTCAGAGAAACTTCTATGTTTACCTATGGGTTAATCCAGCCTCTAGTGGCTGTCTCATTGACAGCCACTAGAGGCGCTTCCGCGCTTCTCACTGTGATTTTCACAGTGAGAAGATGCCCGCGTCCATAGGAAAGCATTGAGAATGCTTTCCTATGGACTGGCTGAATGCGTGCGTGGCTCTTGCCGCGCATGCGCATTCAGCCGATTACAGCGAAAAGGAGGAGGAGAGTTCCCCGCGCCGAGGGAGCACGGCGGGGGAAAACAGGAACCCTAGAGCCTGGCGGGAGGGGGGCCCAGAGGGTGGGGGGACCTAGAGACCCTATAGTGCCAGGAAAATGAATATGTTTTCCTGGCACTATAGTGGTCCTTTAAGATCTGGTTAGTATAGAGGCCATTGGGTTATGCTGATATATTTTTCATGTTCAGGATGCCAGCTTTAGTTGGCATGTTGTCTATGATATGGTATTTACATTCTGGTAAAAATAGTCATTAGATAGGTAGATTGTTCTCAAAAATGGATGCACATGATCTTTAACAATACACAATAAGCTGTTGCATTTAAATAATGTTTAATTGAACTTAAAGGGCCCAGACAATGTTCCACCATCACCACCAACACCAGCCTGAACAGATGACACTGAGCACAATGGAATCTTGCATTCATATTGTTTGACACTAGCATTTACATGTTTCATATGAACTTGACTTTTATCAAACCAAGTGACTTTTTCCCAATATTTTACTGACTGGTTTTAGTTTTCTTTTGCTAACTATAGCCTCCTTTTTCTTTAAGGGCTTCATTTGATGTAGTTCGTTTACTTTGAGGTTCAAGGTCCATGCTGTGCTCCACACTGCTCTTATAGCATGTTTATTTCAGTTACTTTTGCTTTCCTACCATCTTGAACCAATCCGACCATTCTCTCCTGACCTCTTTTACGAATTTGTAATCCAATGTATATTTTTGGCATCAGTCCGTAAATTCTAGATATTGTTGTTTGTGAAAATCCCAGGTGAATAGTAGCTTCTTAAATCAACCATCCTGGCATCTGTAATCATTGAGTGGCCTAAGTAATTTAGATCACATTTCTTCGACATTCTAAATTAACAACTGGCACTCAGGACCATTTCTCAAATGCTTTTATGCATTGAGTTTCTGCTACGTGATTGAACAGTAAGAATTAGATAGCATGAAGCATTAATTGGGCTTGAAAAAAGGCTTGGGATAAGGGAGGCACAGAACATTATTATTTTGTCTTTTGTTTATTTTAATTTTTTGGGGAGAGGGGGCTGTTCATTGGGATTCACTTCCTGCTTGCTGCTACACAAGGATTGGGTAGGTCTTCTTCATTAGACTATATATACTCAATAAACATCTTAGAGACCAAAACATAGTATATCGCTTGGTTAAGCTTAAGGCAATGGTACGTTCTGTTTAATATTGGTGGGAGTTACACCCATGGGCAGTAGGTACTCTTCCTTTAGTGATGTGCTGGGAGAGGAGAATGGAAAAAATGATTTATCTGTCTCCCCAGTCCCTGTTCTGGGATTTCTTTATTAGGACAGGGTCTGATAATTGGGACAGGGTCTGCTAATGGGGACTCCTGTCTGGGATTGTAAGTCCCACTATTCACAGGCAGCCCCTGATGTTAACATGAGACTAGGAGCCCTACAATACACAGGGTAAGTGACATTGTTCATTAAGGTTTTCAATATAGTTATATAAGTTTACATCACTCACCATTCAGTATAACAATTTTAAATATGAACAGTCCATTTAAACAATTAATAATTATTTTGTAACCACTTTATCCAGTGCACCTGCTCATTAATACAATCATCCAAACAGAAAACATGTTTTCTAAATTCTATATCTAAAGTATGCAACATGGCCAAGAGTTTTATTCAATATGCATGGCAACATTAGAATTGGGAAGATGTGTGACGAAGAGAATTTAATACTGTGGGATTGTTGGCGCCAAATTATGCAGTTGCAGCATCTCAGAAACAGATGACCTCCATTGATTCCCACAAACTACAGTCTCTAGGGGATTAAAAGGAATAGTGTGATAAAA